GTGGCCTATTGCTGCCATAGACTGGTACCCGGTCCCACCTCTCGGCTTAGTTACTCAATGGGTATCGAGGTGGGAGTGACAGTCTATGGCAGCGATAGGCCACTGTGAAAAACATTTCAATTTTGTTTCATTTTCATTTCATTTTCACAGTGGCCTATCGCTGCCATAGACTGGGACCCGGTCCCACCTCTCGGCTTAGTTACTCAATGGGTATCGAGGTGGGAGTGAGTACCAGTCTATGGCAGCGATAGGCCACTGTGAAAAACATTTCAATTTTGTTTCATTTTCATTTCATTTTCATTTCATTTTCATTTCATTTTCATTTCATTTTCATTTCATTTTCATTTTTTTTTTTCATTTTCATTTCATTTTCATTTTATTTAATTTTTTTTTTAAATATTTTTTTTTAAATTTTCCTTATGGCAGTCCTAGGCCACCATACATATATCATATAATACAGTATTTTTTATAATACAATATTCTAAAAGCTATATGTAACAATATTATATTTGCTTATGTTTGGTGTAGGTTAGAAAAGTAACAAAAAAACACAAATAAAATAAAGAGTCATGCATTTCATCAATATTTTCATTCAAATTTTAATAATCGAGCGCTTATAGTCGGTTGCTGCAAACGACTGACTTTCGATTGTAATCGATCATCGGGGACATCACTACTAGATAGACCTCGTGTGTTGTCCAGAGAGGGAGATGACTATGGTGCCACTTTATTCCATATTCCCTGCACAAAAAATGAAACCATGAATCTTAATGTGAGAATCAATCCCTTGAAATTTAACACAATGACTAATCAATTTCTACACCAATCAGATCGTATTAGTCATATCATAGTGAAGTATTTGTGGCCAACGGCATCATATTAATGGAATACGTTTTTCACTCGCAGTGAACTTACAGCAGGGGGTGCAGTAAAAAATGCACTATGGACAGGCAGGTATCTAAAAAAATGCGACTTTGTGCCAAAAAACGCTGTGTACTGGAGAAGAATCAACTAAGAAATTGAATATATACAATTAAATATACATATACACATACACAGATACATAAACGGCTATATCAATACAGCTAATTTGCAAAGCAGTGGTGTTTTCATCGAGTGAAGTTGTCGCCAAGATTCTCCCAGTCTAACAATTTTATGGAGTGACAAATTTATACTTGAATGTGAAATCAGTGCAGATTATATAGGAAATAGCTCAGAACGTAAAAGGAATTACAACAAAATTATTGGTATTTCAGATATTTTCAATGGTTTTGTTTCTCTGAGAGAACTCGATCTTAGTCTTTCTGATGTCAGAGGAATTACACTTTCTACAGAGGCATTTCTGCAGCTACAGGTAAAAGTTACTGGGAGTCGTTTGAGTTCAAGAGGTAATTTATAAAAGTAAACTTGGAAATCATTGCAGTTTGATGCTATTCAAGTTTAGTAACCAGGATCTACCTTATATGCAATACAATCACATTTCTATTGAAATGTGTTTTCTGTTATTGTGTACTCTTATGTCACCAAATTACTACCTTTAATGTTAGCAATTGTAACGACGAAGATGACGTTACCCGCTTAAATGTAGATCTGTTGTAGCGATGAATAATGAAACTCCAAACTCCAAGCAGTTGTGTTCAGCAAATAGTATATTTTTTCTCAAACCACATACGCTCGCACAGAGGCACGCAGACGCGTGCCTCGCGCACTCACATCCGACCTCTCTCACCACCAAGAACCTTCCCTTTATACATTTCTAGATAACAAAGGATGTTGGCGTGCGCCACGGACAACCCACACCTGCTGCCCACATGTACATGACAACCCCCTCTCAGACCGTTTCGCATCTCCCATCAATCCATACACACACAAACACTGCTAGCACCACACGTCCGCGGACCAACACATGCACCCTGCAGTCGCTACCATTTCCAATCCCTCAACGACGATTTTTGTTGACATCTGCAACCCATACTTGTAACATTACCTTGCTCTTTTCGCTCAAGACGATGGCTTCTCTATAAGCCCATCGACTTGTTAGCGTCTCGCGTAAAATTTCTTAAAGACACAATCTTTCTAAAACACGCGCTCACCGCCTAATCTTAATCCACCCTTACGTACACACCCATGCATGCACTCCTCTACATCCTAAATACACACACACACTCATGACACACATCCCACACAACACACACACAGCACACACACACACACACACACACACACATACACCGTGTCTCTCATTCCTGGCGAATAGACAACCACATTACCCAAAATTTGCTCGTCCATTACTATACTAAACAGCCCGTAGCTCAGGGGGGTTCGAACGAACCCCCCTTCCCCGAGCCTCCGCCCCCAAGCAAAAAAATTTTTTTAAATTGCAAGAAATTTCACCTCAGGTCGTCCCATTTTAGTGTAATAATCGCCAAAATCTCCCGATACGTGCGGGTGGGTGATACAGTGAACACACCCCCCCCACCACCCCCCCGCCGCTCGGTCCGCGTTGGCTCCCCTCGCCTGCATGGTCGCTTCACGCCCGAGCAGGGCGTGGTACAAGGGGTCATGGAGTTCCGGAACCCCCCTTGCTCGCTGCAGAAAACTGCATCTCGAGGGGTCTAGATTCTTAAAAAATTTCTGGGGGAGGCCCCTCTCCTTCTTCTGCGTGACTCGCGAACTTTGGTTATGGTATAGCGAAGCACCCCCTGGTACAAATCCTGTAACTGCCCACTAGGCCGACACAAACTTGCCAACATTGAAAAACGAAGCCCCCTCCCAATAAAAAGTGAGGCTACGGGGCCTCTTAATACAAATATTCTTTCATCGATACACCACCTAACACCTCATATACAAAAATATCAGTTTTGAAACAAAAACCAATGACCACTTATACTATCAGTAGTGTATAATCCAGGGAGGAGTGTGACATCAATTAAACAACACAAGGAAATTTTCGCATTTTACGCAAGCCTTATAATACTCTACGATTTACTACCGTAACTCATCCACTTGAGCTCAAATCGGACACAAGTACATTCGCCCATCATCGTACCTAATATCGTTCCGTCGTAGACACCC